AGCAACTCCAACGAGTTTAACAAGGTCCTAACATTGAATAGTAACGATACCATTTTAATTCATTTCGTTATCGCAGTAATTTATGAAGGCGCGCTATACACAGTCAGGCTCATGATAGTGTAAGCCTAGTCTGCATCGTAACCAGCCCAGGACTATTCAACTCATGCGCTGGGCACTCCGGGATGGAAACACCTCAAACCATGGTGACATGTGTCTCGATTACTACACAAGCTATGGAAGTAGGATATCAATATGAGCTTATTATCTATCGGTCTCGTGATGCATGTAGTCTTCATCAGCTGGAATCCCAAACTGACTCTTCCCCAACACCACTCCTATCGCTTGCGTCACTCTCATCCACCCTCCGCCCGCGATAGTGTCTCTTCCGCTTCCTCGTGCCCGCATCCTCTGCTCTCCAGCCCTTTCTAGCGCGGATGGGCTTCAAGAAACCGTCCACATGCACTGCACCAAACATCTCGTCCTCGCTCTCTACGTCGTCCACCTCCAAAGCTTGTTCAGGATGAACCCTAGCCACGTGCCGCTGCAGGTTTGTCCTTCTGCCAAACCCTTCCGCGGCACGCTGGCACCCCGCCACAGGACAGCAAAATAGACCGGCAGAGGATGTACGGGATGTGCTGCGGCCCCGACTCGGCGTACGGGAACCCCGTCCACGAGTAGCATCCGACTCACTAGGCGGAACGCTGTCTCGTGCTAGGCTGCCCTGTCTAGACAATACGCGACGTCGCAATGCGGGTCTTGCAACCTCGAAATCCGAACTAGATAACGAAGGAGACCGGCGGCGGCTGCCGGGGAGGTAGCGAGTCCCCCGGGGCTTCAGTCTCTCAGAAGGCGGCCCCTCGAGGAGCGTCTGCATCTCCATCCCCTGGCCGAAAAGATCCGCGCACCGCTGCGCCGCCCTGGCCACCACCTCTGGCTTGAACCCCGCAAGGGATGCCGCTCCGATGACATCGCTCCAGTCTCTCAGTCCCCAGCTGCCCAGCATCAACTCCCTGGCTCTGATCTTAGCTTCAGCCCGAGCCTCGGGGGGCAGATCCCGCTTCTTGCGCGGCGACCTGGACCGCGATGTCTCCGCCTCCGTCTCCGGCTCCTTCCTCCTTCCCTCACCGTCCTTGCCATCGTTTTCCTCCTCGTCAGACGAGTACGGGATGCGCTTCTTCTGCTCCCGTGCGATCCGGATCTTCATCTCCTTCTCCGTCTCCCCCGGCAGCGGGATCAGCGCCTTCCTCGGCCTGCCCCGCCTTTCTGTAGAAGGCCTCTCCGGCTCAGGCGTTCGAGGCGCTTTGCTGCGCGGAGCGCCTTTCCTCTTGCGCCTGGTGGCGGACGACGCGCGCGACACCGCGGACGCTACACTAACACCGTCCGAGGAGGCATCGGACGCGTCGCCCTCGGTGGCGGAGGCGGAGGAGTCGGTCATGTAGCTCAGACCGGCGAGGCGGGCGTTGTGAAGCGCAGTGAGGGTGTTGTCGAGTGTGGAGAGGATGTGGCGGACGGACGGGCGGAGGAGGTCTGCAGAGAGGTCGTCGTTGGCGGATACGACTGCCTCGTAGGTCTTGGCGCGCTTCGGTGTCACCGCGTCCTCATCGGGCTCTGATTTGGCCTCTTCTTCGTCCGAGAGATTGTCCTTCTCGTCGTCGGACGAGGCGGCAGACGGAGACGACGGCCCAGTCGTTTCGCGGCCGGTATCATCCTGAGCCCTGGCGGCTTCCTTTTCTTGGTACTTCCGCTGTCGGCGTTGGAAACGCTCCTTGGCCTGGCGTAGAATCGTGGCCGTGAGTTCTTCTTCCAGGGCCGTGCTGGGTAGCTGCGCCTGCCTGGAGCGGATGGTGAGGTCGTCGTCCTCATCATGGGTCTCCTTCAGGAAATCGTCGCCCGGCACAGTTCGCGGGTTCATCGGCCACGCCGTCCAAAGGCTCGGCGGGCGCCACTCGCCGCTGTCGACAATCTCTTCAAGCGGTCTATCGGCATCCTAGATGACAAGGTCAGCAATGCGGGCGGACCGTGTCTTGCCGACGCTGCTGCTCACCTCTGCATCGGGTTCTGCTGTTGCCGTTGCCGTTGGCCGCACCGGGCGGTGTTTGAGCGCAAATGCGTTGTAGAGATGCACTGACAAATCTTGGTCCCGCTCTCTTTCCATGGAGCGATACAGAAGCCGTTCCTCCTGCGTGTACGTGTACCATGTTGACCTGTTGCCTTTCCAGCGATTGGGTCTGGTCTCATACAACTCTTCCGAGTCGACTGAACGGATCTCATCGGTGTCGAGGTCCCAGGATTCCTCGTTTGCAGCCATGGCTCGATAGGAATGGCTGGGTTCGTCCGAAAATCATGGAAGCTAGGGCTCTATAACGCAATGTATCCATGCAGGCACGCAAATGAAAACGAATGGGGTATTGAGCATGTAAAAGGCAGCCAATTTGAGTGGGTTAAGCAAAAGGTGAAGAAGGAAGAAAAATCGGAACCCGCCCACAACACACCGAAACTCACCTCAAGTCAAGCGGCTTTCACGTCACGCAGGACTCGAACCAAACATCACAAACGGTCTTCGTCGGGGCTCCCTAGTTTTGTTTTTTCTTACGTCTCAAAGTGCCTCAAGCATGTATTTCTTTTTCCCAGCACCACAATTATGGTATAACAAACGCCCTACTACATTCTAGAAATCACAGAACAGGCTCTTTTCTTTCTTCTTTTCTTACGCCTTGGCCTTCTTGTTGAGCTGCTTCTCCAGCCTTCTCCTCTTGGCCCTCAGCTTCTCGTCCTCGGCGCTCTTCTTGTTATTTGTGTACTGCATCTGCTCAAACAGCTTTCTCTTCTTCTTGCTGAGCATGCCCTTGGCCCGCTCGATATCCTCGGCCTCCTCGGCCATCTTCTTGGCATGCGCCTTGCGCGCAGCCTCCTTCTTGGTCTTGGGCTTGGTCTCCTTCGCCTTGGCGGCTCCGCCCGTAAGCTCAGCCTCGAGCTCGCGCTGGCGCTGTGCCTCCTCGTCGTCTTCGGACTCGGCCTCTGCCTCGTCGTCGGAGGCACCGCCAAAGTCGGGATCCTCGCCCTCCCCGTCATCCTCGTCGTCGTCGTCGGAACCGGCGACGTCCATGTCGCCGGCATCCGCCTCGTCGACGTCCATCTCGTCGTCGCTCTCGGCGAGGGCCTCGCCCTCGGTCTCCTGCTCCTCGAGAGGCACAGTCGGGTCGTAGGCACCCTGGACCTGCCTGACGAAGGGGCTGAGATGGGGGGGGAGCTGCGCGCCGGGGGCGTACTGGTCCGGCTGCTTCAGCTCCTCGTCGTTGACGCTGTCCCAGACCCACTGGGGCTGGACGTATATCCGACCGGGGATGCGCTGGTTAGGCGCCAGCTTCTGGGATGTCTGGTTGTCCTCGCCGTCGCCTCCGTCATTGTTTGCGGCGTATACAGGGGGACGGTCGACGATCTGGTGAGTGATGGAGGGGTCGCGCTCGTCGGTGGTGAAGGCACCCTCGCCGAGAACAGCATCCCAGCCAATGCGCTTGCAGCCAAACGCCCGCAAGAGGAACTCGAGAGGTTGTCTGGGAGTCTCACGGGAAAGGAAGAATGTGCAGTTGCTGAACAATTTGGCCCTGTCCGAGCTGGAGTGCTCAGGCTGAGGGAGGACGTCACCGCCCGGCGCAACAGGCTCGAACTTGTCAATGGCGTTGGTGGGTTCCTCGGTGGATTCGGTCTGCTCCTCCGTCGCGGCCCCCTCCTCGTCGGCGTCGGATCCCTTGAGCTTCTTGAGAACCTTTTCAACGGCGGCCTGCGTCTTGGGGTCGACCTTGTGCTGGGTCTCGCCGTCGGTGATCAGCTTCCTCTCCTCGGGTGTGGCGAGGTTCTGGCCCTCGAGGGTGAAGGCGGCGAGCTCGGCGGATTGGTTGTCCTTGTTCTGGTCAAACTTGGGCGGGTACTTGAGGCCGAGGCCGGTGTACAGGCGGAAGTTGATGAAGCCCAGCAGGGTCATGTAGAACTCGACGAATGTGCCCATAATGCGGAAGTCGACGTCGCCGACGATCCTCTGGTTGAACTTGTAGGGTACCAGCCACAAGACGTCCTCGCCGTGGATATTGGCCTGGTAGTAGATGCCCTTGATCGAGAGGAAGGACTTTGTGACGCTCTGCGACACGATCAGGTAGTGCTGGAACTCGAGGCAGAGGCGCTCGCAGCGCGCAATCATCTTGGCGGGGACGGACGAGGTCGAGGGCAGGTTGGCGAACAGGAACAGCATGGAAAGGCAGTCGTCAAGGTCTCTGACGGCGTCGACAAAGGTCGGGTATCGCTCTCTGATGACGTGGTCGAGGGTGTGTCGCGGCTTGCCAGTCTCCTCGGGGCGGGAGGCGTTCTTCTCCAAGCGCTTCGCATCGCCGACGTCTCCACGGCCGAGGGCGCGCGAAATCTTCTTCTCGAGGGCCTTTTGGTCGCGGAACTTTTGCAAGAGCGGCTCGTGCAGGAGGTACTGAATGTCCTTGGCGTAGTAGAAGGTCGTCGAGGCGGTCGAGGACTTGGAGACCTTCTTCTTGCTGCGCGGCTCACGGGGGTAGATTCCCTTCCAGATGCAGAGCTTGCGGAAGTCGGGCAGGCTGATCTGCAGCTTGCGGATGGCCTGGTTTCTCGTGACATAGTTCTTGGCCGCTCCGGCCTGGCCCTTCTTCTTGATTTTGCCCATTTTTTTTTATGATTTTCTTGCTGATTGGCGTGGTTGTGTTGCGTCGAAAGTTGACGACTGGTGTTTAGAAGCTATCAAGGACTTCTGACCGTGGCGGGGCACCCGCTCTCGACTTTCTCTCTGAACTTTTTTTCCATTGAAATTTTCTGCCGGTGGTTGACCGCCCAAGCGTCTGCCGGGACGAGACTAGTGGGATCTGATATGACTACTGATTGGCTGCTGTTATCTAATCAGCATAATTTCTCCAGCTCCAGGGGTTCAATCCACTAAAAGCAGGTCGACTGCGCTGGAAGCAAGGTCGCCATTCGCTGACAGAGCTCCCTCCCCCGGTCCAGCCAGGTGTCATCCACCTCCAAGTCACCCCCATCCCCGTCCCTTACCTCATGCGTCCGAATTGCAACGACCGACCCGCGAACTGTAAGCTCCGCGATCCCGTCCTTCAACATCCCGCCATCCTCCGGCCCGCCTTTTGTCTCGTCTCTCCTCCCCTCCTTCCTTTTCCTCCGGGCCATGGACTGAAATATGACCGGCGGCACAATTACTCAGGGAGGCAACAAGACGGGTGTCTACGCCGCCGCCGCGGCGCTGCGTCTACTGCTCTTTGTTGCGTTCCCCGGTCTGCCTGATCTGCTGACTGGCCGCGTCGAGATCTCGACCCCCGTGACAAGCTTCAAGCGACGTAAGTGCCAATTGCGCCCCCACTCCCTCCCCAACTGCCAACTGGGAGCAGCTTTGCTAACGACACCGTCGATGCGCAGTACAAGAAGGCCTCTTCCTCTACAACCACAACGTCTCTCCCTACGACGGCGGCGTCTACCACCAAGCGCCCCTCTTCCTCCCCCTCTTCTCGCTGCTCCCCGATCCGAAGTCGCTCCCCATCTTCACACATCTCCTCTATATCCTCGTCGACATCTTGAGCGCAGATGCCCTCTCTCGAATTGCCGACTCTGGCGAGGCTGGGTCCTCGCGCCTCTTCACCTCCCCGCGCCGTGGCAAGAGGTGGAGTGGCCTCGTCGTCGCATCGCTGTAAGTTTGGCCTCCCCCCTTTTCGACCTTCACCCCGAACCCTTCTGACCCGTGTCTACCACAGCTTTCTCTTCAACCCATTCACAATAGCAACATGTGTCGGCCGCTCCACTTCCGTCTTCTCGACATGCGCCATCCTCCACGCTGTTGCCAAGGCCATCTCCGGTGCGCCCCTCGGCGCAATGGTCGCCCTCTCCTTTGCGACCTATCTCTCCATGTACCCTCTCCTCCTTCTGCCGCCCCTCCTGCTCCTCGCCTACGACCGCCAAGATCCCTCACGTCGCGTCGCCTCTACCGTGCGCTTCGCTTTGACCAACGTCGCCGTCATGGCCGCTGTCCTCGTCGCCCTGTTCCTCATGTCCTTCCTCCTGACGGGCGGCTCCTGGGAGTTCCTGTCCAGCACCTACGGCGCCCAGCTGACGCTCAACGACCTGACGCCCAACGTGGGGCTGTGGTGGTACTTCTTCGTCGAAATGTTCGATTCGTTCCGCCCCTTCTTCCTCGCTGTCTTCTGGCTCCACCTCTCGAGCTACGTCGGCCCCCTGACCGTTCGCATCCGCTCCCAGCCACTGGTGGTCATCACCCTCCTGCTCGGCATCTTCTCCATCTTCAAGCCGTACCCCTCCATCGCCGACATGAGCCTGTTCCTGGCGATGCTGTCGCTCTTCCGCCACGTCTTCCCCCTCATGCGCTACACCTTCGTCGGCGCCGCCACCATCATGTACGCCTCGTTTCTCGGGCCGGCCTTCTACCACCTGTGGATCTACGCCGGCAGCGGTAACGCCAACTTCTTCTACGCCATCACCCTCGTGTGGAGCCTGGGCCAGAGCTTGCTCGTCAGCGACCTGACGTTCGCTGTGCTGCGCGACGAGTGGGAAGTCGAGCGGCCCGAGATGGTCGGGAAGGAGATCCGGCAGATCTAAACGGGTGTGACTGGGCAGTTTTTGTCGATCTTATGCGCGGCGCCGAGGAAAAGACAGGAAGAAGAAGAAAAGAAAAAAAACCGTTGCGAGGTCTGCAACACCCCATTATATGGGAGCTCTGAATCGGACATTGGTAGAATAAAACGGTAGCATGGGGAGAGGGCATGGCGGACGGTTCATGTAAACCAAAGATAATCGAAACAGTATAGTACATATTCTTACTGGGAGACTTTTGTGCCTTTTCCATCCCTTATTTGGAGTCGCGAGCGCCCTGCCCGGCTCTTCTATTTTTGCTACGCTTTAATAATCCGCGACGGCCCTTCCGATACCCTGTTTTTGGTACCTAGCCAAGACCGTCTCTTCGGCCACCGGCCGCTTCCCACGCGAGTGCTTCGCCCTCTAGTCGACGGCCAGCTCCGACTCAACCACTCTGTGCTCCGACCCGAAGCCCCCGCCCCATCCGGCTGCAGCCGGACTTGCCTGCGGCACCGGGTCCGCAAGCCCCAGCGAGAAGTTCAGCATGGCGCCCAGGTCGCCAAACCTGTTCAGGCCCCTCTTCTCAGCCGCCCAAGTATGCGTCCGCATGCCCCAAGGCGGGAGGCTGCGGTACGCCCACACCCCGTACGCGATGGCAGTGCCGGCCGCCAACACCCCGCCCGCGAGAGCGAGCGTCCTCTGGTCCGCCACGCCCTTGGTCTTGGCCTCTGCGCGGCGCCGCCACTCATGGAGGTAGGCCTCGCCGAGGTTCGGCGTCGCCTGCACGACGTTGTCGAGGAAGCGGGCCGCCGTGCGGAGGGCCGACTCGGGGGCCGCGACCCAGGGGAGAACACCGGGCCCCGTGAGGCACTCGTCGCGGAGGTGGGTGGCCATGGCGGTCAGGTGTGGGAACCTCTTCTCGAGGATAGTGCGGAGCCAGGGTTGGGGGAGCTCGACCTCTTGGATGAGGGCGAGGTACCCGACGACGAGGCAGTCAAGAGACGTCGCCACCTCGCCGCCAAAGAGGCGCTTCTTCTCCCCGGGCGTTTCCTCGCCCCGGGCGCGGAGCTCCTCCAGCGGCGTCAAGGCGTCGGCGGTGATGGCGTGCAGCTTGATGCCCCGCGCGGTGCCGGCCTTCATCTCCTCGAGGACGCTCTTCCTGGTGGAGACGGGGAGGTGCTTCGCCGCGCGGTCCAGCGCGCTGCCCTGGGGGTCGGCACCCGACTCGTCGTCCTCGGCGCCCAACGAGCCGAGGCCGAGATGGGCGCACCGGGCGACGGCCTGGTTACGGAGCATGCCGGGGACGGTCCAGCTCAGGGGGAAGCCGAGGAGGTGGCTCAGGGCGGGGCGGGTGACGGCGGCCCAGTTCTCGTGGGTGCCGTACAGGGCGGCGTCTAGGAGGGGTGCGAGGTGGGCGTCGACGTAGGCGCCGTAGGCGAGGGTGTCGGCGCGCTGGGACGGGGTGAGGCGCGAGTCCAGGTCCAGGTCCCAGGAGGGGGAGTGCGGCGAGAGGGAGGCGAGGTGAGAGGCGATGGCGGTGTATCCCGTTACCCAGACGCCGTTGGCGTTGAGGGCGGGGAGGCGGTCTGGTAGGGCGGGTTCGTTAGCGAGGGCGACATTGTTTCAACGTGTTTCTTTGTGAGTCGTCGCGCGGTTCTTTGTGGGATCCTCTTTGTGACGAGTCGTCATGATGGGAAGACCGCGTGAGATCCATGCAGTGGCGAGCCTCGACGGTAAGAAGGGCGTGGGCATTGAGAAGCAAGGGGTAAACGGGCCGGTGTAAGTGTGTGTGTATATGAGGGCGTGCAGACTTACTCGATGAGTCAACAGCAGGGTCATTGCTTGGGACCAGGCGCCATTGGGAACTTGGGAGGGCTGTGTGGAGGTATGCGATAGCGGCAAGGCACTCGGCGTCGATGGAGGGGAGGCCGAAGGCCGGGCCCCAGACATGGAGTTCCAGGATATTCATATCGCGTACGATATGATGCGTGCGCTGTGCGTGAATGGGGAGTGAACGGGGAGTGAGTGACGTGTAGACTTGACCGTCGGCAGACGCGGGCGTATAGTTCCGAGTTACTCGATGTACTCAGACCCCAGACGGCTCTCACTCCTCCTGGACCCTGGTATGATGGACAGCGTCGTCTTAGCGCAAGGGCTTCGTTGAAGAGTGACGGAAGGAGGCGCTTTACCTGGCGGGTGACTTAACGCACGTCTGTGACGGAAAACTCCGAGAGAATCTCGAAGGCAGCAATACCACAAGAGGCAGTTCTGATGCTCGTGCGCGATACGTTGTCAGTGTGGACGGGAGAGGAAGAAAACGGACACCCCCCTGCCAGTGCCTTTGTTCGCTTCAGCGGCGCGAAGATGCCGTCCGGGGGCCTGCAGCGCACTTCCTGGACGGTACGACCTCGGCGCGGACTCACGTGGCGATAAGCGAGGCCACGATCGATAACGCTTACATAAGGTACAGGCCTAGGTAGCTCCACAATCGCCAACAGCTTTTTCCCTTTTTGGACAGAATTGACAAACCCCCCCCCCCCCTTGATGATCCGGTCCAAGTCTCCAAACACGCCGCCTCCAGTAGATGATGAGAGTATCTTACCCCGGCATCAAGCATAGCTAGCAGATCGAAGCAAAAGACGGCAACATGCCCGACGAGACGAGATGGGCCCAGCTTGGCATAATGCGCGCTACTCACGTATAGTGCCTAATACAGCACCCCCCCCCCTGAGGCCCTTTTGACGACGGCATCACCCCAAGGGAGACGGACGGGCCCCGACGGCGGCGACGACGAAGGAGGAGCCGCGTGCAGGGCACACCTCCCTTTCCCCTTCGCCACCGCTAAGGCAGGTACGCGACACCGAACACGCCAATCCTCTGCAACCGAACGAACGGTGTGGCGATTGGAATCCGGCGCAATCTAATTTCGTCCGAATTTCAGACGCATCAGAAACATGACGGCCCGGGGAAACGGGGATTGACACGATCGACGTGCACCCGCCAGCCCTGATGGTCGGTAACAACCAAAATAGGTACCCAGAGTGCCAGAGCTAGTGTAAACGACAACCTCTCAAACCTGGGAAACGCAACAGAAAGATTGGTTGCAGCCCGATGTCTCCCCTCTTGTTTCAAACAAATTCAAACACTTGGTCGAGTGGGGAGCGGAGGCGACGGTCCACAGATGCCATAAACCCAAGACGGTGTCGGAGGGATGTGATACGTGTCGTCCATTCCCGGCCGATTCCTGGGGTAAGACGGCGTCGCGTCGATGAAAAGGGGAACGACGTGATCCAGTCTTGCTGTCCACTGCCCGCACCTTTGGTTGAACTTGCCGGACTCCCAGTCCCTGAGCAACATCAGACCAGCGTATAGTATCCCGTCCTGTACATGGGCTCCCTCTACCCCAGCCCAACATAGTTTAAGGCATCCCATCCGTCGCTGTCGTACGCGAATGCACGTTATCAATATAGATAGACATGTGAGATGGCGGACGCCACGATGGATTGCGGCAATTATGAAGTCCCTGAAACGGGCGGTCTTTGGTGATGACGTGGGGGGAAGGGGGCGGCAATTCAGTGAATACGGTGAGTCCCCCCCACGACGGCTTCGATTAAGGTAGTTTAGATTCCCCTGAGACGTCTTCTGGCGCCAGCGCCATCGCGTCGCCTCTAGCACACTCACTCAACGCTCATTCATACCTCTCGGCCTCTACCGAATGCTCTCCCTTGAGGAACCACGGACGTCAAGGCTGGATGGTGGCGCCCGTCTCTTGAAATTACACCTTCATGCCAACCCGCCCTTGACCTGCCTACACGAGCGAGGCGCATGTCTCCTATGCAACGTAATGAGGAAAGGGGGGGGGGGGACCCCTAAAACGCTTAAACGACGGCGCCGGAATCCCGCGCAGCCTCCCCATCCATTCCCACCAACGACGTTTGCGAGAGCCTCTCTTGCTCTTTCTCTTTCTTGTGCTTTGACTTTTGAAACTTTAAGGGTCCGACATTCCACATCCCGTCCTTCTCCCCCCTCTTCGCATGCATCCATCTCAGAAAGGGACCTCAGCCTCGTTGCATGCCAACCAAATACGAGAACCCACCAAAAGGGGGTTTCCGAGAGTCTATTTTGCCCAAACCCTAATGTGCGTTATTGCCGTCCACCCGCCCGATGAGGCAGGCCCGGACAGTTGCTCCGTCCCAAGCGGAATATACTTTTGCGCCATCAGCCGTTCGGCGCACCATGTAAGTACCATCATGCGGCCGGGCCTGCAAATCCTCGTTCTAGCATGGGAATGAAGAAAGAAAAAAAAACCCCCACCCGGAAAAAAAAAAAAAAAAAGAAACAATAGTCACAGCGCAATGAGAGTTTAATTGCCGCGAACCCAATGGCACATATACGTAGTACACACACACATACACACCACATTCCCTGTTTGTCGACGTCGTGTGGACGCGACGTGAACCAAGAGCTGCGGTGGTAGTATAAGCTTCCAATCTCAACGAGGGCGAAGCTTAAGTCGTAAACCCCTTGACCCCAAGGTCGACAATCCCGCCCTCCCCTTCCGCCCCTTCCCCCGGTCAAACCCGGTCCTCCAACCGCGACGCCCTAAGGCAATGTGTAAGTCCTGCGTCCTCACCTAGGCGAGATGAGCAGTTGCAGCAAAGGGGGGGGGGCAAACCAAATGCCGCATGCCAACTGCACTTGGCCTTTATGTTTCTAAATTGAGATTGACAAATATTATTGAAAAAGTCCCGAATTCGGATTATACCACCTGAACCCCGACACCCCCCCTTCCTGAGTGGGATTAAGTTTGACTAGATGCTGGCAGTACCAAACGGTTGATGGAGGAGAGTTGCGCGGCCGCCCTATCCGCGCCCTCTCTTCCCTCTCCCTGACGGTTGCGGCCGTCCCATATACCCTTGATACCCGAAATGGGGGAGGAGGGGAAGGGGGGGGGGGGGGGGCGGAAGAAAATCATGGACGTCGCTGCGAAGAAGCGGGCTAGGTGACGGAAGACCCCAGAATATCTCTCTTTTCATCCACCAACCACTATAACCCCCCTTCACTCTCCCTCCCCCCCTGGTGTAGATATCGATATTCTACCTAGTGTGAAGATGCACCTACCACGCAACCCTACGAAGACGTGAGATGGTCCCATAGGGTAGGTAGAGTAGCTTTAGATATTGGATATACCGGATTCTCCACGGCAGTGGCGGCGGCCAAGGGGGGAGGGGATACTGACTATCTATCTCCTTGTAGTTTTTCTACCAGATGTGACAATCGAGAAACTGGGAAGCAATTGAGGGGGGGAGCAAAGAAGAAGAAGAAAGGGGGGAAAAAAGGCTTACCTGTCAGCGCTTTGCCTCGGTCACCACTCTCTCCTCCCCTTCCACGTTGGAGCTCAGTTGAGGGTGTGCTGTGCGGCTGCTGATCGGGACGGGTCGGTTATGCGTGTGTTGACCCTGGTTGGGTAGCACTGGGCGGGCGGGAGAGGTGGTGTTCAGTTAGCCCCCAAGGCTGGCCAGGGGCTTGGCAGGCAAAAACCACACGCCAGACTGGCAAGGCAGACAGACAGAAGACAGACAGACAGACAGGACAGATAGAAACAGAACAGACAGACGGACGGACAAGAAGGCGCGGGGCGCCTGCCTTCGTGGGCCCGCCGCGTAACCGTAGCATTGCATCGACAAACACACACACACACACACACACACAAATAAAAAAGGCACTGGATGACCGTCCGCCGGGCGCCCGCTTTTGGAGGGGGGGGGGGGGGGGGGGGGGGACGGCGGTGTCGGGGACCGGCGGATGGACGATGGTTCGAGTCTTGGAAAGGAGGGGGGAGGGTAAAGATCGTCTCACCCCAGTCCCAGCCCCCGCTGCTACTACGGCTTGTACGACCAAGCAAGGAGAGGAGGAGAGGGGAAGAGACGGTTTGAAATCTGGAGAGCGACGACGACTTGTCGTGCGTGGATGGGGCGGCTCCTCGCGCCATGCCGCCACATGCGCAGAAGGGCAGGCGGCATTGCGACGGATGAGATGATGTGCTCGAGATGGAGCGTTTCCGCCTGGCCTCGCGCCGGTAGCGAGGTTTCGATACGGTTAGATCCGCGGAAGGCATTGGCAGATAGGGCGCGTCACATATCTGGCGGGCGAATCACATGGCAAGTTTCTTTTCTTCTTCTTTTTGCTTGTAATTATTTGTTTGGTATTATAAGTTTGCTATAGAACCCGGTCCAATATTGAGTGGACAAATCCCCCCCTCGCTTGGAAGACGGAGGGGGAAGTAAAAGGAAAGAAAAAACAAAACTCCTTTGACCCTTCCTTGGGCCAACTTTTTATAATCGCTCATAGCTAAAACTTTCCGTCGAATCCATCCGTCTCTCTGAGAAAGGGAAGGGGGGTATCGGCGACGACAAAGTGAGAAAATGGAAAGGGTTCGGAAACCTCTCCGACAGTGCTCCCTTCTAATGATACATGAGTTGATGTGGTGGTGGTGGTGGTGGTGGTGGTGCGTCGATGCGTGAAGAGTGACGTTGAAGTGTGTGTTCCTGGGTCCCGTAATGATGCTTTGCTCGTTCCGTTGGTAGGTCATGGATTAAAAGATAGTTGGTGATTGTGTTGTTGAATAGCACACCGCTCGATGACGAGGGGTAGTCAAGAATGAGGGACGATGGTGGTTGTTTTACAAGGTAGTAGGGCGATGTAATATTGCAGAGTGTCTTGCAATCGACGATGAAGCCAAGTGGGTGGTATGAGCTGTTGCGTGTTCTCGGCGTCGCGTGCAGGAGCCCAGCTCTTGGGGACGCGGGCCGGCACGAAAGCAGAGAAAGGGAGGACGGGGGTTGGCAGAGAGGCTCGTTGGGGAAACGGCCCCAGGGCAACTCATACGCCCCGTCGACGGAGGTAGGATGATGATGTTTGCCCGGTCCTTGAGAGCGGTTGCATTGAGCCAAGTTTTGGCGAAGGTGGCTAAAGCTGGCTGGCGAGTTCTTCCGTTCAAGGTGGTGTGCGGGTTTGGTTGTAGTTGGTTGGTCGAGTGGGTGGGATGCATGTGTGCATGTCCAACACATGGGATGCGCGGATGGCGTGCATATCCTGTCAGCCGTCCAGTTCCATGCCGGCTGACAGGGAGGACAGGCCGACGAGGCGTTGTTGCATTCGATCGCAATGGATAATACAGGAACTGCTGGGTTGCGTTGTGTCCCGTTGGTGCGTATTCAATCCAACTGCGAAGCGAAGACACACCTAGGGCGGCTGCAATGGTGGGTGATGGTTTTCTCGGATCACGGCCCCAAAAGGCCAGGAATGTTGGTCATTGTCAGGTTGTTTGTTGCGCGAGGCTGTTGTCGACCCGAGACTCTTTAACCCCGTTTGGGCAGAGCAGGAAGAGGGCGCTGAGGCGGGGGGCCGGGGCAGGGAGGCAGTTGCGAGGGGCGCTGGGCAGGCATGGTGACGAAGTCGAAGTTTGCGGAAGCCAGTTTGACGGTGTTGGGACAGCTGTGAAAAGCTGTCTAAAGAGCTATGAAGCTGTTGTTGGTATTGTTGTGGTGGTAGTGGTGGTTGCGAAGGCTGTTTTGTAAGAGCCTCGGAGATGCGGTGGTGGTAAGGGGTTGTGAGCCGTTAGGAACGTAGACAAAGAGTCTTGAGATGGTCGAGGGCGTGAGAGAGAGATATATGTAACCAAACGGTTATGAGCTGAAGTAGTAGCAGCAGTGGTAGTAGTCTTCTGAATTGGTTGGTGACGATGATGATGTGGTCGAGAGTCGGTGTTAGGGGGAGGGAGTCGGGTGCCTTATGTATCTACGAATGCGGCCGGCGGGAGGACATTTCGGCTGGCGGTGCCTGTTTGCAGAGGTCGCTGTCCGAGACTCTGCAATTTTGGAACAGCCAGAAACCTTGCAAGGGTGTTAGCCCAGCTCGACCTTGGATCGGGCACTGGCGTCGCTGTGGAAGGGGGAGGAGGGTGTGTGTTGGCGACGGAGTCCAGGGGTAAGGAGGAGGAGGAGGGGGGGTGGGAGTAAAGTGAAGGTGAAGAAAGGGAAGAAGAGTAGGGTACGTATGTACGTCAGTACTTTGACCCCTTGTACCTGGCCTTGCTGGTGCCAAAACCAAAGCTTGCCCTGGGCAAGCGTCCGTCTGGTGTTTGTGGAACGGAGGTGGTGTGATGCAGCAGCAGCAGCAGCAGCAGCAAAGACGGTGTGTGTGTGTGTGTGTGTGTGAAACGGAGGAAGGAGGACTCGTCCGTTTGATTGTGTGCCCAAGTATTGTGGTGGTGTGTGGTGTGAGGCAGGTACGGCAGGTACGGTTTTGGAAACGGCGAAGCAGGTGGGTGGGGAACGTACTCCAGATAGTCCGTCCGCGCACTTTCCCATCTTCCATCTCGCATTTTTGAGGGAAAAGGGAAGGAATGATCGGCTAGGACAGTGGAGATAAAATCTCAGGCACTACCGTAGTAGCGTTAGATACGTACACCTGGACGTACCGTTTCCATTCCAGTCTCCCTCTCCGTCTCCTCCATCCCTCCCCCCTTTTCTAACGGTGGACTATGCACCCCCCCCCCCCCCCCCCCCCCCTCCTCCTCCTCTCCCCACCGTTTCGAGGCGCTTGGTCTGTCCACGTCTCTCTCGTCTCATCCACCGATCACCGTCTCCGTCTCTGTCCCTCCGTCCCTCTCCACGTCTTTCGTTATTTTTCTTTGGCCCCCCTGGCGGTGACGCATCGCCAGAGTCACCATGGGGCTTGACCGCCGCAATGCCAGGAAATGAAACAAGCATGCCGACAGGGGCTGTCCTGCTCTGAGCATGTGCTGCCCCTGTCGCGCCAGCCTGATGTCTGTTAGCGCATGGCAGCACTTCGCAAGCCCACCGTACTGAGAATCCACCCCAAGCTTGATAATCATTCTCTCGATGGGGTCCGAGAAATTGCCTGCTGGGCCCCCTCGTCCGACTACCCAGGCGCACACCAAGCAACCCAGCCAACCCAGCAACGCGGCAACGCGGCAACTCACCTCACCCAGACCGCATAGTAAAGCTGCCTAGTATGCGCGCACACTTAGACTGCTAACTGTTGTGGTGTAGGGCAGAGAGAAAGAAAAGGGACAGAAGGAGGAGGACCACGGCGTCAGGACATGATACTGTACGTATACACATTTTAGGGGAGTTTGGATACCGTACTAAAAGGATAAGAACAAGACGTTAAAAATAAAATAAAAAAATAAAAAAAAAGAGAGAGAGAGACTATATTCGGCACCTCCGTCTCTACCCTTGCTTCCCCTGGCCCTTATTCCTGTTACGGTTCAACCTCAAACCGTCTGGGAAATTGCAGCGTGCTCACCGCTCAGACACGGCACACAGATTACTACCACTACTCCTACTCCTACTACTCCTACTGCCCAAATTGGTAAGTAGTTTACGTACTAGGCAACACAAGACAGTGTACCCGTACTACTAGTATGCACAGCGTACGGAGTAGATGCTGTCACTACACCTCGTGACACTAGAGACAACCAACCTCGGATCTGAAGACGACACCTCATCAGCTGGTTACAGAGACGCTGTCAAGTTGCGACCTGCGTAATCTGGAGGCGACGACAGACGAGACAGCAAGAGCCTCCAATTTTCCTCCTCTTTTCTTTTCTTTTCTTATCTTTCCTTCCTCTCATCATGTTCCCATGTCCGTCATCCAGAGTGAACCCTGTTTCCTTGTTCTCTCACGCAGTGCTCGTCTCAACTCGAGCCAAGGTTCCAAACCAGAAAGCGGCTCTTTGTCCCTTGCATCGAGTCTGGCAGGAACACCGAACCCTTCTCTTCTCTTCTCTAGACCCCCCCTCCCACGCGGACAAACACAGGGCGAAGCCGCCAAACGAAACGGCCGAAGGGGATGTCCTCACTCAGCAGACAACTCAGCCTCTCCCCGTTTACGCCCGTAGATTCCGCGGTCCAATTCCCGATTCCTTTCTTGCGCGGCGATTTTCGTCATCTGGTTTTCCCTTTTTGGGACTATCGCGCCCAAGAGTTCGCATACGCTGCTGCGTTGACGTTTGACGCACTTGGCTTTGACTTTTGACCTTGCACCGCCGGCCGAGCCCACACGTCGCCCGGCCGGCCGACGTGACGTACGAGTGTGGCCTGTTCCCAAGCATGCGGCCAGCCTGCGACACTGCTGCGCGTTTTGGATTGTTGTTAAGAAGGAAACGGGGACTAAAAAGAGAGAGAGAGAGAGAGAGAGAGAGAGAGAGAGAGAGAGAGAGAGAGAGTATCGACATTGCATGCCTAACGCAGCAGCACATGCGATGCGCCGACGTTGCTGTCGTGCTCTACCTACTTCCCTTCACTTCGCTTTTGCTTTACTTGCTGCATACGGCCGGCGGGACCAGCATCTTGGTCGACCGCCGCTCTTTTCAGGAACACGCCCCTTGCACACCACACACACACACTACACGGCACACTAGCCTTCACGATGCATATGTATGCACGTACGGGGCGGTTTGGAATAAAAATAACATTCTTCAGGGGCTTCAAAGAATAAAAATAATTTTTTTTTATTTTGATTCTAAGAGAGAGGATTCGTACGCAATGTCGTTGCTGCGCCTCCACTTGTTGGCCTTTTAGGGAGGAAGAGCTTATCTAGGCTCATCAGTTAATAGCGCTGCCTAGCTGCACAGCCTATCTGATATCCGGCCGTAGTACTCCGTAGCCACCTAGGTAATCACAGGAAATACAAAGACGAATGGACAGCTGACAGCTCGACAAGGGGGGGTTAAAAGGGAAAGAGAGAACAGATCATCATCAAATTGGGACATGACTTCCTTCTCGGCGCTTCAAGGGGACTAGAGACTCGATTAAAAATCAGCCATCTAGCAGCAACAACAGCTCGACAGGGGATGATGCATGGGCCACACAAGGGAGAAGCGAGGTCTCACCTTTTGGTTCTCCAGTTATTTCTATCTTTATTTTTCCATTTCCTGCTTACGAGATGTCATTCAATCATCGCATTCGTACCTAAACCCCTCCCCACCCGTCATCGGAAACCAGGGGGGGGGGGGCGAACGAACGGAACCGAAACCCATGGTACGTGCCCTTAATTGCCATTACGACCCGCCTTTTCCTTTTTTCCCTTTTTTCATTCTTTCTCTTTTCTGCCCTCCCCCGGTACAATATGGGGAAATTGCAATCGCTGGCGGGACTCGACAGCAAGGAATGCGGTACCGGTCCCCTGGTCAGCCCCTTGCATGGAAATTCTCATGGAACGATGATGGAAAAAAGAAAAGAAAAGAAAAAAGCCCTCCACCGCCTCCTTCTAGGATACCGTGTCCCTCGGTCTCCATATGCCAATTTCCCGACTTCCCTTCAGCCGTCCCGTTCCCATCCCTATTCCAGCCCGTGTCAGCGAGGGCTGTTTGGCCGATTTGGTTGGGGCGGAACCCAGAGACGGTCACGATGTTGCTGCGATTGCTGCTGGGCCCACTCCGAATGTGAGCGATCTCACAACATCCAAACGGGGGGTGCAAACCTTTTTTTTTTTTTTTTTTCATTCTTCCTTTTTTCTCTTCTTCTCTACGTTACGACCCTCAATTTTATGAAAGGGTGATGGATAAAAGTAACTTTTACGTCATGACTAGTGATCCAGCCGGACACCCCATATGCTTAATCTCATCCCTTATTTCCCTCTCTCAGCCTTGTCACACACCGTATAACTCACCGAGTCGGCGGGAAGGAGTCAGCGATCAGACAGTTCCTGCCCTTACTAGTAGGCACCTTTTTTTTTGGGGGGGGGGGGGGGGGGGGGGGGGTTTCCCCTTCCGTTTTCTATTTCTACTAGTAATTCTATCACCCATAGTGGGGTCCCCTCCCGAAATGCCCGTCGGTCTGGGGTCACCCATCAATCCATGGCCACCGGATTTTTTTTGGCCTTGTCTTTGCCTCCCGCCGGACAAACGCAACGCATCCGCAACTCTCGCAGCTTGTCCGCACTGGTTATCCTTGACCAGACGTGACTCCAAATGAACAAACTCAAAATAAAACCAAAAAAGCCAAGACAGCCGTTTTTTGCCCGTGTTCGCTGCGATGGCCAGAGTTCTACACTGCAGGTCTTACGACGCTGATGTTGCTATACCGTCGTAGTCGTGTCGTTACACTACTACTGCCACCACCTCACGGCATTATGCCTATTGAAAAGTCGGCACTCTAATTGTTCCGCCTGACTCTGGCTCGCAAAGCTTATCTGCGCGCGAGAAAGAGAAAGAGAGAGAGAGAGAGAGCAACAGTAAAAAAAAAACTAAGAACCCCACCCCCCAAGCCGGAGATTGTCGTCAACACGCCCGACTACCTTACCCCTGTCAAGTCTTGATCCCAACTGATAATTAGAGAGAGAAAATAAGAATAAAATAACCCAACGAAAGCAGAGTCCGGGTTTCGCGCTACTGCATGTCAACAATCAACAGGAACCCAGAGCGCCGGACGGCGGGACGTCACGAAAAGCAAGGGACCGACCAGCAGGGTGGGTCACTACCGACCTGAAGAACCAAAGGCGGAAGGAGGACGTATACAAAGAAGAAGAAACAACACCACCCAATAGTAACGGCGATGGTGTTGTCGGTCTTTTTTTGCTGGTGCTTGGTTGGTTGGTTGGTTGGTTTGTTGTGCAACACGCCTGTCGACGTGAACCATCAACAACTATTGGTAGAACATTGGTTTCAGAAGAAGAAGGAATGTTTTTGTTCATCGAGATGAGAACGAACGAGACGCGTACGGAATCCCAGCCGGCCGGTTCGAAACGTCATTGAACGAAGAAAGGGCTGCCGAGAGGTGATTGGACAGCCAGACGGAGCTTGGATTTTTCAGCCTTTCAATCAACCCTCGGGACGCTGTGCTCCGCGCTGCTAGCGGTCTTGGCCCAAGAGTCCGGTGCCAATGAGATGACGAGAACATTGTTTCCTGTTTCTCTCTCTCTCTCTCTCTCTCTCTCTCGGTCAATGTCTTCACCGGTGATGGCTGTGTCTCAGTCGCCTGTCTGCCTCTTGACCGGCAGACCAGCATACCGTTGCTTTTTTCCCCCTCACCCGAGTGCCATCCAACCTGGGCGAGCTGGGGTGAATGGGGGCGTGGAGGGGAAGGGAGAGGCAGACAGACATCGAGACAGGCAGGCAGACATCGAGACAGACATCGAGACAGGTAGACAGACAAACATACAGACAGACAGAGGAGAAGACGAAGAGCCGAGCCCAGCCCGGGGGTTGCAATGCCGACGCTATTTTCGTCCGAGAGCCATGCCATCAGCGCCTTTCTTCCTTATTCTGGTTCCGGCTGGATCGATACGACTGCGTGTCTAGGACGAAACCCGATCTATTGGCGGGAAATACCGACGATTGTCCAATCTCGCTACTTCAGCCCTTTTCCTCTCCCAGGCAAGATAGCGAGCCAGCCTACCTGCTCCGTACGCTGCCTTACCTATGCAAGTTGGCAAGGTAGTGAGAGTGTATGTAAGCCCGCCCCATCTTTTCTTTTATTCCCTTGCATCCTCACCGTTTTGAAGTTCCCCTTCCCCGGTACCCCCACCGTATCAGGCCGTTCCACCGTTTGGTAGCGAGACCAAGGCAGGCAGGGACAGATCAAGGCCGCCTGGCCAGACAGATACTCTTTCCCACTCCGTACTCCGTACCAGAGATTACCCCATCTTGTTTATGTCAGCCTAGGCGTGTGAATATGTGGGTCCATCGCCAATGAAGAAAGTGTCCATACCGTACCGTACTTACCTAGGTAGGTATCTACGCGCAACACAGCAACAATCTTGACCGTAATGTTCACATCATCACCACCCTCACCATGTGCCCGATCTAATTCTAACCCTTGCCGTACGCAAAGGCCGATCGATGTGTGTGCGCGCGCGCGCACTACGCTACGTGTTCGAACCCTCCCCGGTCCGCCTAGGTATGCAAGTCGAGGTCAGCTGGTCCCCTTTCTGCCCTGGAAAATCACACAATCATCGTGCTGTTCCAGTCTCACTACGAATATCTAGGCATCAGGGGGTAAAAAAGGACCAAAGACCAGGGAAACATGCAGACTCCCATCATCAAGCGCAGATGACCCCGGCACTCACTCGCTCACACACACATACACACACTCCACGCCCCCCCCCGGTATCCGTCTACCTGGGATGGATTGAGGACTGGCCCTCCCTGCCTGCCAGGCGCCGGTACCGATGCTGACGGCTGCGCACTGCTGACTGTGTCAGGTGCTTGCTATATCACTCTGTACTGGTATGTTCGTACAGTGGCAGCTCCTGGACCCCTGTGCGATCCGCGCATTCTTGGACCTTGAGACTAACCTCTTACACTGCACACGCACGCGAATGCTCTGTACAGGTAATCACCGTCCGAAAGGGGAGAGGGAAATGCGGCCGGGTACCGTAACACCGTTATCTCCTACCGTCCACGGTGCTGTCAGGGATCGTCCTCGGCGGCTTAGCAGCGGCCAGCTTACCGAGAATAACGCCCGGCCAAGCTTTGCTTTGCGATACGATGCCATACGATACGATAGGACACGCCCATGTACCCGTGAATACTGTACTGCCTCATCACCAAGAATCATCTCGTCATAGGCTAACAACACTACTTGCTCCTCCCTCTAACGCAAGCCCCTACCAGATCTACGGATCCGCGGCTGCCATCGTCATAAGAGGCTTTCGAACGGCGTCGAGCTTGGGGCTTCACGCTTCACCTTCCCGAAAGCCTCCTTCTCTCTCACTCTCTCGCACTCTCTCGCACTCTGGACCCAGTGGAGTCGCGCAACGGTATTAGGAAAGGAACGCCCTAGGTGGAAATGGCACTCGCCGCCTCCTCCCCGCGGTACGGTTGGTGGGAGCGTGAGAATGCGCCGGTGGCATGGTTGGTCACGGCTGGCTTGATAGGACGAGCGCCCTCGCGACACTTTCTCGATGCGTGCACGCTCCGACCAGCCCAGGGCAAAGCCACACCCTAATACAAGCGGTCACGACAAAGCCCCCCCCCCCCCCCCCCCCCCTCTAATCGTCCCCGACTGTTGGGACGGTGGCTGACTGGGCCGTCAACTAGCCAGCGGCCCCTGCTATCATGCAAATTGGCTGGCACTATCCCTCTCCACATTGTCTTCGTTTCACCAGCATATGCCTGCCCACTGACATCTCTGTGTTTTGTCGATCTTCTTGGGCGCTACGGCAAGCCTCCAACAACAAAAAAACACGAGCCGGCAGTTATGCCCTTCGTTCCGCCTATCGGTCCGTAACATTGCGGAACAAAACACCGCTTTACCAACACCACCAAAACAACGGGGAACTTTCCGTAGTGGCGGACCGGCGCAACACCACACTGCCGGTCGTACTATGCTGTCTTGACCGACGAATCGCATCCCGTCACGCCCAGGTTCTGGAGCAACCCTTTACCGTCCACACAAGATGACCTCTCTTCACACGCCCGCCCGCCCGTTGATAAGTCAAGCCGCCAGTCCCCGAAGGAGGGCAACACAGCCGGGAACGGATGGGAGGGGGCAAGGCTTCTGCCTGTCCCATCCATCCGGGACAGCCTCTCCCTTCCGTCCTTGGTGGCTTTGGCGGGCAGTGGAGTAGGTAGGGGATGGGTATTTTTGAGTTACAGTCAGAAGCTTATGTGCAGCCCATCACTTCCCCAACCTTGGGTATCAGTCTGGTCGACGCCTGCGGGCTGACACACCCAGCCGTTGTGTTACCACCACCATCAATATCCATGGTGTAAAAAAGTTCCTATTCAGTGCTGCTGCTGCTGCTGCTGACGCTGCCTTTCGGTACCATGTCGTGTCACCACCACCGCCACCACCACCACCACCACCGTAAGCAACAGCGCAGCAGGTTGCGTTTGCTGACACCAAAAACACCTCGGCGACCGACGACGATGGCAAGATGGAGGTGCGGAACGGGAGATGCCCTGCTGTCTCTGATAATGACGGTCCGGCCATTATGGTGTGCGGGCGAGACAAGAAATGGCTCATCACACATCAGGTACTCCCGCTGTGGACATCAGACTACTCCGTCCGCCCCCCCTCCGAGAAGATACGGCCGGCTACGCGATGTAAGCTACATGTTCTGCAAGTACCCCTTCCCTACGGCGCGATGACCGTTTTCCATGACGGAACGTGCAAGTGAAGTACGGTAAAGTGAGGGGAAGAGAGACCCCGCTCACGGAAAGTGCACGGCGGGCACGCTGATTGGGTCTGGCCTTGTCCTACGAGCCGCCGTCACCACTCTGTCTCCCTCGCTCCAAGGAGAGAGGATGGATTCTGTGACGACACATGGTAGCGCTGCATGGTGATCGCCTTCCCATGCAGCCTTATCCCCCAACTCGGGTGCTACGCCTGCGGGTTTCACCTAGCAGTAGTAGTAGTAGTACGCCTATCATGTATTCGGTAACTCTCTGTACATCACCCAGATGGGCGGTCGGGTGTACATGGAGCTACGGTGTGCCCAAAGGATCCCCGACGAAGGCGGCGATGACGACTCACCACCACATCCCCGTCTGGCGGCAAGGAAGTTGCCTACGGACCACACCGTCCGGTTCTATCTGTTTGATTTCGAGTGAGCATCCACAACATGCAAAACTAACAAGCAAACAAACAGACAAACAAGCAAGCCTGCACACACCGCATGACCCGCTCTCTCTCTCTCTCTCTCTCTCTCTCTCTCTCTCTCTCTCTCTCTCTCTCTCTCTCTTCATCACGTCTTCTCCACTCAAGAAGAAGTGGGAATGAAGGTCGAAATGAAGTGCCCCATAGAAGGAAAAGAAGGAGAAGAAGAAGAAGAAGAAGTTTCGTCCCTGGTCCCCCCTCCGTACCGAGAACACCGAGCCCCTCCAGTCCAACCCCGTCAAGTAAACTAGCAACAGGGGTGGTAAACGATCACAGATGGCGGTCAGGCCAAACCCGGTATTTTTGCTTGATGATGGAACCTTTTGTGGTTGGTTTTTTTTGTGTGTCCCCCTTCCTATCCTTCCCACCCTTCTCCTTGCTTGGCGGTAAAGTGTGACTCACAATGTGTTGGCGGTCTACTACACGTTGGTTTACCGTCTACGGATATACCATCCCCACTCATCGAAAGTGACAAAGTTCTTCGATGTGGGTAAAGCAATGCCCCAAAACGGCCCCCAAGGCTGAGACTCTGCAAGACGGTGCGCGGATGCATGCATCCTCTTACAAGGCCGCGCGCCCGCACCGCATCGCAAGTTCAAACTTTTTGTCCAGCTTGCCCTACACACCCCCCCTTCCCCCCCCCTCCCTTGTCCGCAGGCTTGGGGTTTCTTGTTTTGGTTGGGTACGCCTACATTTCTAGCTTCGTGGAACTGGGCAGCAGTAAGCAAGCAGTAGCGCATGAAGATGCAATGTTTGCATCACGTCGGCGTCGATGGGCTCAGAGCCCCCTCTTTTTTTTTTCTTTTTTTTTCTTTTTTTTTTTAACTTTTTTACTTTTTTACTTGAGACTGTGTGCGCCGGGGCGGAGGAGAGGGACCCGAGCTGAAAGAAAGAGACGGAGAGGGTCCGGTACCGGTGTAAGAAAGAAGCGGAAATCCGACACTTGACGCATACTTCCACTTTCAATCTCCCTATGCCGCCCCCCCGGATCCCAACCCGCCCCTCGGGCCATGGGTGGAGATGAGTGTCGGCAAAGGGAAATGAAGAAGACGAAGCATAAAGAAGGATCCCCACGCACGTCGACGAGGAAAACGTCTAGAAGGAGCGGAGCCCGTGGGTAATGGAAGCTACTGCGTAAACCCGAAGGCTTCTTTCGCCACCCCCTTTTCTCGCTTACTACGCACTACACTCGCTCCTAACGAGGGGTGGGATGGATCACGCCACGCGAGACACGGCGAGGCTGGGATATGGCTGTCGGCCCAGCGAACCGCATGGGAAAACCCGTGGCTTACATGCCCCCGTACCGGTTTGCACGGTTTTTAGTAATTTGGGACCCATGGACCCCTCGTGGAAGGGGAGGCTCACTTCAGCTCAGCCGAGCGGTCCCTTGGCCTCGGCCAGCGCGAGATGATGGCCATGAGACGAAGATCAGACCGGAGCCGCCACGTCGGGAAATTTGCCTTTTGGTTCGCACGATGAACCGTGCGGTCCCTCTCGGGACGATTTTCTCACCGAGTCTGTGCGTGTGTGTGTATGCGAGTGTGTGGCTCACTCGCCCATTCGTTACGGATTACAATATAATGAGGCGTCGGAGGAGCCTCATCCTGTCGCGTCTCAACCAACACCCCCCCCCCCGTGGAGGCCCGGGACGTGTAATGTCAGGATCTGGATGGCCCTGCTCTGCCCTGCAATCCCGCCCATGCGGAGGGGAGGCTGATATGCGGGTCGGCCCAGAAGCCTTCTGCTCATTTCGGCGGCGCCGTCCTGGTTTTACGTTTTTTTCTTCTTCTTTTTCTTTTTTTTCCCCTCCCAGGTACACGGTATCACCAATGAACGGCCAGAACCGTTCCAAGGGACCGAGAGAGAGATCTTCGCCCTTACCCCAGCTTGGCACTCACCGTCCTAAGGCATACCGAATGGACGGTCAGCGGTGAGAGAAGGGGGGGGGGGGGGGGGGAGTAAGGCTGCGTACGGCGGGGGTAAACTACGTCAGGATGGTTGTTGAGGGCGCGTGTGCAGATATTCACCGACTCTCTCTCCCTTCCGTTTGTTGAAGAAAAGACTCCACAACTCGAGGAGGGGGGGGGCACCGACTTAGTACAACTACATACCCTCCTCTGACCGTTTGATCGCGGTTGGGGGGAGACGGGATATGATCTTCGTCATGCCGTGTCTTGGGCATCACGGTTGATATCCGTTATGCCAGACGTTTTAGCCTAGGTGATTTTTGTTGGCGATCAAGGGTCCAGCGAACACAAGGTCCCCCCCCCCCCCCCTTTTCTTTTTCTTTGTTTTTTTTTTTTTCCCCTGCTCGGCCCTCGGGCCAGAACCCGGGAGCCCGCGAACCGTTCTCGGCGGCGGTTCTAAAAGCCTGTTTCTCCTTTTATTAGGCCGCGTGGCCGAGCGGAGAATCAAGCGCCAAAGGATTTATGGTCTATAATCCCTTTTTCCTCTTCTTTTCTTGAATGAAAAAAAGAAAAAACCCGATAATTCAGCTCGCAGCCAGAAGAGGAACAAGTGGGCATCGCCAAGCGGATTGAGGAGGTCGCGGTCACCCCGGGATATCATACCATACTGTCCGGCGTCTTGCCTCTGCCCGCGTGGCGTTTGGATCTGGTCTGGGCCTTTGGTTGTTTCGCGTGGAACAGAAAATGCACGTCGCTATTCTCGGCTGTCTTTTTTTCCCTCTTTTTTTTCCCCTTACGCTACGGCCATTTCGTTTCGTTTCGTCTGTTCCCCCCCTTTGCGTCTGATGTCTTGGGATGTTCTAAAACGGTCCAAGACGATACCCAAAAAGAGAAACTACCCCCCCGCCCCCCCCCCCCCCCCCCCCGTTTCGAGATGCAGACGGCGTCCCATCCGGGGAGGGGGAGGCTTTCTGGTTACAACTAGGCCTTGGCGACATGCAAGTACGCAAGAATAGCATCCCGGAGGTCGAGGAGGAGAGCGGCGCATGCGTGGCTCGAGCAAAGGACATGCGAGATATCTTTGTCACAACGGCAGGTTTTTTTTTTTTTTCGTTTCACGAGGACGTGTGTAAGAGACTATGTCTTGACCCAAGATCAATACCGTACGCCCCCCCCCCCCCCCCCCCCCTCCTTCGGGCTACAATGTACGGTCACTGAGCCCGTGGTGTAGCGTGTACTCCGTACACTTACACCTTAAACGCTCTCGTCAATTTTTTCCCCCTCATTTTCTTTTTTTCCAGATGTATCTTGGTGTGAGATTTCGGCATGTTTCCGAGTGCCTCTCTCGTCCCCTTGTCCCTGCTGCCACATCGACCCGTAGACCAAAGTCGGTCGACAAAAGGTTGTGGAAATTGCGCGATGACTCGACGTTGCAAGGCAAACAGAAACAGGAAAGAAAAAACTAGAAAAAAACTAGCAATCGCAATTTAGACCCACCTCCGCGTCCCGCGGGTCTGTCTCGTACCAGAAGGCCGGGTCCGGGTTACGTCGTTGGGGGGGGGGGGGGGGCCCTTTTTGGGGCCACGGAGCAAAACGGGGCATTTCCGTGGGGTTTCTTACTACGTACTCCGTACTTTGAACCACCACTCGGTCGGTCCCCCGGTGTGGGCGTGGGAATGATGGCATCGTCACTCGGGCCCAACGACGCAAAACCCGCCGATCCCGTTTCTTCCCCCTTGTCAACAGACCCTCACGTGTGCATGTGTTGGTTCAAACTTGGCCGGGGGGGGGGGGGTTGGAGAGTGAGAAAGAAGGATGACTACCGCTGCCGCACACCGAGCCCCCGGAGTCCGATCAGGGTTTCGTTGCTGAGTAATGAAAGAAAGAAAAAATTCAAAAAAAGCGAATTGGGACGCAAGGCACGGCGCTCGGGACCCAGGGCGCATGTGGGAGAGAGTCGGCACACCTCGGCGGCTACTCGGCGGCGATGATGTGCGTGCCACGTCGCATCCAACGCGTGCCGTCACAGTTCCAATGGGCCGGTACTAAAAGTAGGGGGAAAGTTTGATAAGAAAAAAGGTTTACAGCGCCCTGTCTCTCTCTCTCTCTCCGTCACTCTCGGTGAAGCCCCACGACACGTCGTCATTCGTCCGTCTGCGGTGTGCGCAAGACGGAGGGCGTGGCTGCAAACAGCAGTCCATCATCTCCTTGACCCATTCAGCATCCATCCACCTGTTTCTCCTTCTTTCTTCTCCTTCGTCTTCTCTTCTCTTCTCTTCTTGCAACCCCCCCCCCCCCCCCCCCCCCGGGTTCACGTGCACTTACACGCAACAGAGAGGGAGAGACAGGGGCGCAAGGGGCGGGACGAGGCTAGAGCGCATGCATTCGCTTTGCTAGTCGGGCAAATATATGTTGTATCTGGTCAGCCCGGTCCGACCTTTCTGGAACCAGAGACGTCCCGAGGGAGGGAAGAGGCGGGTGGTTTTTTTTTTTTCTTTTCTTTTTTTTCCTTCTCTTCTTTCACGACCAACATATCGATCCCAGCGGTAAACGTCCATCGTCGATGTACACGACCTCACTTTGATCGGTTTTTTTTTTTCTTTCCGCGTCCATAGCGGCCCAACGAGGAGGAACGAAACGGGAAGTAAAATAAATAAAAAAGTTTATTCTGTAGTCTTCTCTGGGTAAAGTGGCATGGGAAAACGCGTGCCGGGCCCCCCATGACTCGGGTCTACAGGTCTACCACACCTGGGCAGGTGGGTTTGACTTCTCCAAAGAACACCTCCTGTTCGGCCGAAGATTCCGCATCGTAGCATTGGGGGCCTTTTGGGGGTCCTGTTTTACCCCTTCCCACCATTACGGATGGCGACCTGTGACAACTGTCGACGTCGCGAACCTGTCATTCCAACGACAAGAGGAAGAGAGAGAGAGGGGGAAGAGAGTCCTGTCATATCTATCCCCTGTCTCCGTCACCCAAAAAGGGACCCCCTCAGAGGGGCGGGCTGCCAACTTTGGAAGTCCTAGGACAGCTGTTGCCTTGGAAGAACCATCCTGTTCTTGGCCGCGTCCCTCGTCTTGGCGACCAACCAAGGAAAAAAGAAGGGGGAAACCACAACAGCAATATTCCAAAACCGATGCATGTTGGTCCGGAGAGGGCAGAGAGGGGGGAGGGGGAGGGGGAGGGGAGATGGACCGTGTCGCACGTGTACGGGAAACCCCATCACCTGATGCGTGATTCCGTTCCAAAACCCTGTTTTCACGCGGGCCATTTTTGTGCTCGGGTGGTGTTCGGCGGCTCTTGGCTGGCTTTTTCTTGGTTCGACGCCGTCCAGAGCCTTCCGCCCGTAGTGGCAGACAGAGAGAGAGAGAATGGGCGCCGTGTCTTCCCGACGGCGTGACGAAATGACGCGTCGAACATGATACACGATCACGATCTCACTATCGCCATTTCACGCATCCCACCTTGCGTGCACACCGTCGCCGTCTACCCCCCCCCCTGGCGTCATAACTGGAATACGGGGTTTGCGACCGTTTCGAGATGCCGATCCAGGTGCAAATCCCCCTCATGGCCAGCACGCCATGGCATGCGTCTCAAAGATCGAGCTTTCCCCAGGTTCTCTTGGCACCAAGACCGTATATTTCGATTCCCCCTCCCCGGACGGTGCCCGAATCTGGAGAAACGCTACCCCCCCCTCCCCAGAAAGCCGAAAGGGAAACAATATCAATGACACCCGAGACGGTGCCCAGAACATTAAAGAGGGAAACGGCAGTGGTTGGTTGCTTATTTTGAGAACTACTAGTATACTGCTTTCCCCCCGGTCGAGCCAATCGTTCGTGTGATTGGCTTTTAGTCAACGAACCCCGGGGGAGGGAGGGCGCAAAGCGGATATGGGGAGATAGTATCGGCTGTTGCGCAGACAAAACATTGGCATGTCTCAACGCCTCAAAATATGCCTTTGCTTTGAACGTCTGTTTCCCCTTCGTCTGTTGGCAACACCTGGGCGGTTCGAGGGCGTCTTCGTCCAAAAGACGACGTTCCGGCGGTCGAGACAGCAACCCCCCCCCCCCCCCCTTCCTTTCCAACCGACGCTTGCTCTCGTGTTGGTTGCCTCGACTGGTAAAGAAAGAGGTCCCTCGTACCGCAGGAAAAGGCAATAGATAAAGGACGAACCTGCGACAGGGCTGCTCAGGCGGCGAGAGCCGAGAAGGAGAGAGAAACGCGCGCGCGCGCACACACACACACACACACACACACACACACACACACAAGGCACAAACCCGTTCGAGTGGCTGAAGCACCGCTTGATACAGCCGGTGCCCTGTCTCTCTCTCTCTCGTCCGGGAAGCGTCAGCAAAGCCGAAGGCAGACCTTGCGAATACAGCCCTTCCCCCCCCCCCGGGCAGCGTTTTGTGACATTTCGATGAAGCCGCGGCGGCCCCCGACAGAAACGGGACGATCCGAAAGAGGGGGGCAAAAAAAAAAAAAAAAAAAAAAGGATGGGAGTGAAAATGGGGGGGAAGACGTCTCGATGCGCCGATTTGCACCTGCATGTCACCCACCCTACGCCCCCCCCAACCCCCCCTCCGGCCCCCAAATCTACAGAAATAATCGTCGGACAATTACCGCAAAGGATATCTCGCATCAATGTTTGCGTCGAAGAGAGCATCGCGCAGGGCGTGGGCACACAATGCATGATGCAGGTGTACGTTATAAGACGTTCATTGCTGCGGCTGGCGCGTTGTTCGAGCCCGCTTCTCGCGCCTTTTTTTTTTTCTTTTTTTCTTCTTCTTTTTTCTTTCTTTTTTCTTTTCCCCCCACAACGGTGAACTGCCTACTAACCCCTCCCCCGCATGCTGACGTGGGAGGTCTCGGCGAGCTGCTTCATCGGCTGCGTGGCCGTGGCAGTCGTCCCATTGAGGCCCCGGACAGCCGCGACTTGCGACCAATATGTGTGTGTGTGTGTGTGTGCGTGTGTGGTGTCCATCCGGGGGTTGTATCTTTGACGCTCGGTGACGTGTGCGTGTGTGAGCGTGTTTCTCTCTCTATCCAACTCCATCTCTCCGCACCCAGCATCGCCGCTGCTGCCGCCGCCGCCGTCGCTTCAGTCCTTCGCCCAAGTGGGATGCTTACTGTTGTTGGCAGGCTCGGCATCGTCAGCATGTCGAAAGACAATCCCGAGGTGACGGCTCGTTATGCAACCAATGGGCCGGCGGAGAGGCGCCAGGCAGAAAGGAGAGGCATCTGAAACATGCTCTGCTCTCCGCAATGATACGAATCCGACGCAAGCCTCCCAAAAAAGGATGGCAGAGTGCTGTGTGTGTGTGTGTGTGTGTGTGTATGAGTGTGTAAGAGCACAGCGCGTTCTCTCCCCCCCCCCCCCCCCCCCCCCCCCCGCGCGTCCGAGCTATGCCCACGTGGTGACGGGGAGGCTCAGAAGCAACGACCACATGCGCCTCCACCCCCGACGATCACACCACACGCACTTTCAACAGGGGTTGATGGACTGATTGCCACACCCGTCCCTCCGCAAACCTGATGGGGGCGCTTGGTAACGTTGCTCAGCGCGTTACGCACTCTCCCTGTAGGCTGGTGCTCACCGCAGACACGGGCGAGACCAGAACAAGAGGGACGAGGCCAAAGCCTCATGGTGGTGGTGGTGTTGCTGCTGCTGTTTCTCGCCTGATCAGCTGAGCCTGGTTTCGTTAGTCACCAAACCATCGGCTTTCCGCTTCGGGGATCAGCAGTCGCTACTGCAGGTACTACAACTATGGCGACGAGGCAACGTATCCGGTATTCCCGTTTGGGACTCTCTGTCCCAGTTTGCGTCCGGTCCGCCTTCGCTTCCCGAGACAGTATACTCGGCCCCTTGAAGCCATTCCAATTTCTCTCTGAGCCGCAGCAAGGGGACACGAGTCCCAGTAGAACGGACGGACAGACGGACGGACGGACGGGACGTATTGGGGAGGGCTCAACTTGCTTTGGCTTTCCAGATGCGGCCCTCGGCGGATGAAGTCGATGGGCTTGTTTCTCCGTAATCAATGCATTGTAACTTCCTCTATCCCATACGTTGCCGTCGTAGTCGTCGTCGTCATATGGTGGACCATCGATCCCGCCGCCCCGCCGGCCGGGCATGCCAGGAAGAGTGACCATCCTCTCGGGGACAGCTTATCTTCCGTTCTAGGCAAAAGGACAACAGTTTGCTCCGTCGGGGTTTTTTTTTTTTTTGGTTTGTTTTCTTAGCCCCGGGCGCGGTACCCTGGCCCCAAGGCCGCATCTGAGACGAGAGAACACGAATGGAGCTGTCTGTATCAGAGCGTCCGCGCGTCCCATGGCAAACGGTGGCACTTTACGGACATTTGTTGACGGTTTCATCTGGTCACTGGCCGTCCAGGATCCCGCTAATAAGCCAGCCCTGTCTGTACGGAAAGCGAGCATCAGCCGGCTTAGTGGGGGGTTCAGCCGGTTGATCGACCAGAAGGCACTGCACCTCGACGCTTTCAGAAGAGGCCAAATAACAACACGCCCATGTTTCCTCGGCTGGTATGCTCCCGGTGCGCCATTGGCTCGACGGAAACGCACGCCGTGCTATCTATCACTGCACCCATCCACGCCATTGTTCACACCCTCTCCGGGCTTCGCGACCCATGGTGGTGAGCGGTCATGTGGACTCGAGTGCTGGGGTTGGATTTGACGGAGAATTTGCCCTGCCTGTGCTGACGCCGCAAGCTCAGTCGATTCTCAACCCGTCAGCCTAGCCGAGCAGCCTCTCGAAACAGCCCATGTCATATCCGGACCATGCTCGATGCAGCTCTAGCCTGCGCTGTAATCAAACGACGTACGTATAGTGTCAGTCAGCCCGAGATGCTGTGTAATGACGACTGCACTGCCGTCCCTGCGGAGGATGGCTGATCGTCCTGTCCGACAATGCACTTCAGATGCTGCTCCAATCATGTCGTCAAACCACTCGTTCGAACCGTCCGACCACGAGTCTGTGCTGGGCCGCTCATACGGACGCTAGCGTACCTCTGCCTGTCAAGAAGGGTCACAGTCCGTGAGTCATAGCCGGCCGTTTCAACTCCGCTGAGACTGTCGCCGCGATAGTTTCCAAGGGTCACCTCCACCTAGCCTGCAGAGTTGACGGTATGCGGCGGTCCAGTCAGCTCCCTCCCGACGGCGCTCGGTGTGGTTGCGGATCTTGGTACTTGGTCGACATGTATCTTCTCAAGTTGGGTGTCGGTGTAGGTCGTGGGATCAGCCATCCATCGATCGCGTGGTGACAGGGTTGGCATCCATGTTTCCAGCCACGGAAACCAAGGCAAATAACATCCTTACCCTGGCATGATTTGGAAACAATTATCATCACCAGTGCTATAGCAGACCTCTTGAAGTGATTCAATCTGTCACGGAAGCTTGACAAAGGTTTGCTTTCGAGACAGCTGAGCTACGTTTAATGGCATGTGTCATGCCCGCTGGGAGTTCGTCCATCCTTGGTTGTCAACCCCCCCCCCCATACGGGAGCTCGGCCAATGCTAGACAACTACCGTTCGAAAGCTCGAGAGTAGTGGCGACTGCGACACAATGCGCTGAGCCCCGAAGTTGCGACCGCGATCTCGCGATCACCGGAGCCAACCCCATCGTGGGTGTCGTAACGTTGAGGCAGATAGGAACGGCGGCGTGCAACGCCAAGGAACTTGTGCGACAGCAGCCAAGAGGAGGGGCGGCGTAGACCTCAACTGATGATGTTCACGATTCCAATGGCTTGGGAAATTTGCAATGCTAACTTGGACTGGGAGGTGAGGCCTAACCTGAGTCGTACCGTCGTAAAGCACCCGGGCATCAGCTAATAAACTTTAAGGCCAAGCCAGCGTCCAGTACCTATTTACAATCACCTTGGGGTCCCTTGGGGCCAGTTTCAGTCGTCGCCGATCTAGTCGAGTATACTTGCCCGAGCGTTGTTGTCAACACATGTTACACATGCCTCTCCAGATAGACACTCCGGCATCATGCCGCGTGGTAAAGCGCTAAGAGCCCGGAACTCCCGGCGGACTGAACGGCGATTACAAGCGCGTGTCATGCCTCGCTCAGAATACTGTGCCGGCACCCATAAGACGACGCCGGGTGTCTCTGAGGTAGCCCGGTGATAGAGTTCGGATTGGTCATGCCTCCCTCCACCCCGGCACAACGCAAGGCCAGGCTTGCGGCCTTGTTTCGACTCTGGAATCACCTTTCGTGACATTGATGTTTGAATGCTCTGATCATGCTTGTAATTGTAAGCACACGACAGAGCCGCAACGAAACAGATCGCCTATTCTCGCTGCATCTCGATCTGTTCAAGGAAGACGTCTCACGATTGTTGTGTGTCTATTAGAAACAACTTGGCTAGTTCTTTTTGGGGGGGCACACGAAACAATAGGTGGGGAGCAGCCCCCCATGCCCGGTCCTCGGTATTCCGGTATATGCGATGCATCCCAGCATATGACAAGAGGTGTCAACTGCCGATCTGAAGTGGCCCATCATTGTGCCATCGAGCGACGTTCCCGGGGCAAGGAACACGAGCTCTCCCTGTAGCAGGGGGCCCTCTATTTGTTGCCCGATGGGGGGCGGTTTGAACTCCCCTGCTCAGACGGTCACTTGCTTGCGCCTCAAGATGCGTCCTCCTCGGCACCAGGATTCGGCATCTGGGTAGAACTGATCCAGTTCTCCATGCTGGCTTGACCAGCGGGCTGCTTGGCGTTCCCCGGTCCGCTCGAAGACGCTAGTCTTAGACCATGCCGCTTCTTGACGACGAGGCAGAGCACGCGTCCATAGATGGCAAAACCTTCGTATGAAACATCCATGGCCATCTTCTTCTTGTCATCGTCGTCATGATCGCCGTCAAACCCACCGCCCCTCTTCTTGATGCGCTTAGAAGGCGGGGAAACATCGTCCTCGGAATCTATTTCGATCGCCGAGGTTACATGCCCAGCATCATCGCCCGAAGGCATCTCGTCATCGGCGTCAGGGCCGCGAGGTTCCCCGCGTTGTCTCTTTGACCGCCGAGGCCGGCTTGTTTCATCGACGACGGGGATCCGGGAAAGCCCACCGGCATCGCCCTCGGATTCGCTCTCCTCTCGAACGGGCACCGCGGCACCGGAGCCTTCGGCCTCCATGTCCAGATCGATGGGCGCATCGTTTGTTTCGCCAATCAGCTTATTGGAGTTGGACTGCAGCCTGCCGGTCGCCTTGTCCCGGAAATGCTTGTGCTTAGTGAGCAGTGAGTGGCGAGTGTTGGTCTCAGTAAGGAACATTGACACCTCGAACTCATCTGTTCAATAAGACGATCAGCCAACTCTATTCAGTTCGAGGGGGGAAAGCCTAGGTCTGGCTTGTTGTAGCAATGGAAGAAAAAGTGGCCGAGCCGGCAGCAGTGACAGCAAGCAAGGCCGCGAAACGGCGTGACGAACCTTGAACGACGACATCTTTGATGCTCTTCTTCTTGGAGCTTTTCTTCTTGGTGCGCTCCCTCTCCTTTTCTTCGCGTAGTTTCGGCAGCACCAAATGACGAACGCTTTCGATGACCTTGGGCAATATGGGATTCCGAGGGTTCAGGAGCCAGCTCTGTGCCAAGGCCGGATTATCGAGATATATGCGACATTCGAGGACGGAATACTTGGTGATCCTCAGATACCGACGGAGTGGCGCCATTGATGTTCCAAAGGAACTGGGTTACAATATCGGGTGTGGGGCGTATGAAGTACAGGTATGAGATCAGACGTGTTTGCTGGGGTGTCTTTTGCACCATGAGCAGGGAGGTTTCTGTCAAGGTGTGGTAGGGGTAACGTAACGAGGCCAAGACCAAGGCGATGACTGAGAGGGAAAAAAGGTGGCTGTAGATGTTGCGTGCCGATGTGTATGGTTCAGCGAGATCGACTGTGAGCATGCAAGGTCGTGTGGTGGTATCTGTGAAGAAGAGAAGTTGTGGTTACCTGGGCCTACCCCAGGTAGGTGAGTAAGTGAAGCTCAAGGCGTGACGTCGAGCGAGAGGGCCCCCACGGCGCCGATGTACCTTTCCCGGATCCACCTGCACGCAATTGCGGTTTGGACAGGGACGTGTACTTGGGTTCCCCGTGCGGTTGCTTATGCGGGACCGCTGCACGAAGCAGCAGCAGCAGCAGCAGCCTACGACCTCAGGCACACAGCAACCCAATTGGCAGATCAAACCTTGACCCACTTAAATTTTATCGGAATCGCGTTATCCACCCGCTGCATCGTGTCGTTTCTCATCGACAGAGAGAGAGAGAGAGAGAGAGAGAGAGCTCAGCATCCCCCAAACTCCCAAGTGCGCATTGCGGCTTACATCAAACCTTCCAGTGATGCTTACAAAGCGATCATGTCCAAGTCATGGGCGTCGACACTGAGGTTACCCAAATCCACCTTTCCGTAAGCTCTGACCCCCGTCCGGCCCTCCTACCTCCGTCACCGCCCTCAGCTGACCCGTGACTCGGCCCGCCCTCAGACCGCGCCCGCTCTCGCAGTTCCGTGCCGACTACCTGCGTCGATCCGCCGACGACTTTTACCAATGGCAGCTATCCAACGAGTCGAGGCCCGCCTTTGCTCTGCATGACGGCCCTCCGTACGCCAATGGAGGCCTTCATGTTGGTCATGCCTTGAACAAGATCCTGAAGGACATGATCAACCGGGTCAAGGTCCAACAAGGTTGGCCGCCATCAGCTATCTTGGCCTTCGTCCGTGGACTGACATCGCCCTCGCAGGTTACCGGGTACGATACAGACCTGGCTGGGATTGCCATGGGCTCCCCATCGAGATGAAGGCCGTTGGCACCTCCGGTGGCAAGGACATGACCGCGACCGAGATCCGCAAGGCTGCTAGACAGCTCGCCTCTGCCACGGTGCTGGAGCAGATGGACGGTTTTCGATCATACGGCGTCATGGGTGACTGGGATGCACGATGGACGACCATGGACCCCGACTTTGAGATCAGACAGTTGCGCTTGTTCCAGCAGATGGTCCGTCGAGGTCTCATCTACCGCAAGAGCAAGCCCGTATACTGGTCGCCATCGTCGAGGACCGCGTTGGCCGAAGCCGAGCTGGAGTACAACGAGAACCACGTCTCAACGGCAGCCTATGTGAGGTATCCAATCATTGGCGGCCCGTCGTTGAGCGGCGTCTCCGGCCAGCTGTACGCCATTATCTGGACCACCACGCCTTGGACGCTTCCCGCCAACAAAGCCATTGCTATTCACGAGGACCTTGATTATGCCGTCATATCTGCCAACGGAGCCTCGTATCTGACCGCCGTCAGCCGACTGGAGGCCGTAAAGGCTCTCTTCCCCGAGGAGGAGCCCCAGGTCGTCGTGTCGTCCATCAAAGGCTCCGAGCTAAAGGGATTCAAGTACCACAACAGACTGCAGGGTGTGCAGTCCGCGCCGCAGCCCGTTATCCATGCAGACTTTGTCTCCGCCGACTCGGGAACCGGTCTCGTACATATCGCCCCGGGCCATGGTTTTGAGGACTACGAGGCATGTGCGCAACTCGGCATTGACGCCTTCGCTCCCATAGACGACGAGGGGAATTTCACCCGTGAAGCCTTCCCTGATGCCCCCGAAAAGTTGACCGAGGCCTCTTCTATTCTCAAGGGCGGCAGCAAGGCTGTTCTCGCCCTGATCCAAGACGACGTCTTGAGCGCCGCAAAGTACAAGCACAAGTACCCCTACGACTGGCGGACGAAGCAGCCCGTTGTTATGCGGTCCACCGCTCAATGGTTTGCCGACGTTGACAGCATCAAGGACGACGCCGTCGACGCACTGAAGGACGTCAAGTTCGTGCCGGCCTCGGGGCGCAACCGCCTCGAGAGCTTCGTCGTCGGCCGCAGCGAGTGGTGCATTTCGCGCCAGCGTGCCTGGGGCGTGCCCATTCCTGCCCTTTACAACGCCGACGGAGATGCCGTTGTGACGGAGGAATCTGTAAACCACATCATCTCCGTCATCCAGCAGCGCGGCATCGATGCCTGGTTCTCCGATGCCCCCGACGAGCCTGCCTGGGTCGCCCCGTCTCTCAAGGGGCAGTTCCGCCGCGGCACCGATACCATGGACGTCTGGTTTGACAGCGGGAGCAGCTGGACCGAAAGCAACGGCCAGGCCGATGTCTATCTCGAAGGGTCTGACCAACATCGCGGCTGGTTCCAGTCTAGTCTGTTGTCGTATGTCGCCGCCCAAAGAGCCGAGAGCGACGGGGCAACTCGGGTGCAGCCCAAGTCCCCCTTCAAAACGCTCATCACCCACGGATTCACCCTGGACCAAGCTGGCAAGAAGATGTCAAAGTCGATTGGCAACACCATCACGCCTGCCCAGATCATGGACGGCACTTTGCTGCCTCCGATCAAGGTCAGAGGCAAGGCCAAGGTCGCCGGCGCCGGCCCGACGCACGAGGCTCTGGGTCCAGACGCGCTGCGTCTCTGGGTGGCCAGCTCCGAGTACACCAAAGACGTAGCCGTCGGCCAGGCGGTCCTCAAGTCTGTCCACACGATTTTGGTCAAGTACCGCACCATCATCAAGATGCTGACCGGCTCGATGCACGAGTCGGCGCGCACCGCCCCCACGACTGCCCTCGACCACATCGCTCTCGTGCAGCTGAAGGACGTCACGGAGGAGGTCCACAAGGCGTTTGCCGCGCACGAGTTCTACAGGGCCTTCAACGCCTTGAACCGCTGGGTGGCCAACGACCTGTCGGCCTTTTACCTGGAGGCCATGAAAGACCGCCTCTACTGCGGCGACGGCGGCGGCGTCCTGGAGCCCATCTTCCTGGGCTTCCTCCGGATGCTGTCGCCCATGACCCCGCTCCTGGTCGAGGAGGCGTGGGACCACCGTCCCGAGTTCATGAAGGCCGACCGAGCTCTCCTTCACCCCCTGTACACCCCGCACGACGCCCCGATCCACGACCGGCCCCCCTCGGCCGTCGGAGAGGAGTCCCTCCGCAAGGACCTCCCGGTGCTCATGTCCGTCTCCGGCGCCGTGAAGGCGGCTCTCGAAAAGGGCCGGCTGGCCAAGGTCCTCGGCTCGTCGCTGCAGTCGTCGGTCGTCGTGACCACCGAGGACCAGGCGGTGGCCGACGTCCTGGACAAGTACGGCGAGGAGGAGCTGCAGGCCATGTTCGTCGTGTCGTCCGTGGAGACTAACGTGGAAGTGGCCCCCGGGGCCGCGTGGCGCTACGACGAGGCGTTCGAAGTCGACGGCGCAAAGGGGACCGTCTCGGTGCTGCCGCCCAAGGGGCACAAATGCCCTCGTTGCTGGCGGTATGTCGCGCCGAAGGAGGACGTTCTCTGCGGTCGCTGCGAGGATGTCGTATCGAGCTTGTAAAAATAGACAGACCCGTGTATAGATGTGTTGCAAATAAAGAAAAAGAAAGATACCCCTCATGATGATATCAAGGTTTTCGAGAACCAAGTTTACTTCCAAGTGAAAGATCTAACGTTCTCTCTCTCTCTCTCTTTCTCACATACAAACACACACACACGCACAGACATACAGGACAAGGAGAGGCGACGGCAACTGACAAGCCACTGAGCAAGGTATCATGGACGCATAAATTTCAACTCCAATCCCAAGGTCGCCCCACTAACTAGTCTTCTTTTGTATTTCTTATTTTCTTTTTTTACATTTCCCCAACACCCTAGTCTTGAAGAGGCTGGCCCATGCCGCCGTACGTAATCATCTTGGTGACCTGGTACTCGGATACACCGTACAGGGAACCCTCGCGGCCGAAGCCGGACTCCTTGACGCCGCCGAAGGGCGCGGCGGGGTCGGAGATGAGGCCGGTGTTGACGCCGACCATGCCGACCTCGAGGTGCTCGGCTACGCGGTGCACGCGCTGGATGTCGCGGGAGAAGAAGTAGCCGGCGAGGCCGACGTTGGTGGCGTTGGCCAGCGCGACGACCTCGGCCTCGGTGTCGAAGCGGAAGAGGCCGGCGACGGGGCCGAAGGTCTCCTCGCTCGCCATGGCCATGTCGGCGGTCATGCCGGTGACGACGGTGGGCTCGTAGAAGTTGCGGCCGAGGGCGTCCATCCTGCCGCCGCCGACGACGACGCTGGCGCCCTTGCGCTCGGCGTCGCGGACGTGGGCCTCGGCCTTGTCGACGGCGCGGTCGTGGATGAGGGGCCCGTGGGTGGTGCCCTCGGCGAAGCCGTTGCCGACGGCGAACTCGCGGACCTTTGCGGCGAACTTGTCGGCGAACTCGTCGTAGACGCCGCTCTGGACGTAGATGCGGTTGGCGCAGACGCACGTCTGGCCCGAGGAGCGGAACTTGGAGGCGACGGCGCCGGCGACGGCGGCGTCGACGTCGGCGTCGTCGAAGACGATGAAGGGGGCGTTGCCGCCCAGCTCCATGGACAGCTTCTTGAGGGTGCCGGCGCACTGGCCCATGAGGAGCTTGCCGACGCCGGTGGAGCCCGTGAAGGAGATCTTCTTGACGGTCGGGCTGGCGGTGAGGGCGGCGCCGACCTCGGGGGTGTTGCCGAGGGCGGTGACGACGTTGACGACGCCCCTGGGCACGCCGGCGCGGTGGCCCAGCTCGGCGATGGCGAGGGAGGTGAAGGGGGTCTCGCCGGGCGCCTTGCAGACGACGGTGCAGCCGGCGGCGAGGGCGGGGCCGATCTTGCGGGTGATCATGGCGGCGGGGAAGTTCCATCTGGACGCCGTTCAGTAAGTCATTCGGTGTTCTATCCAAAATATTCCCCATTCGCCAGTTTTCGTTCACAAATGGCTAGGTCTGGCTGAAAGGGGGTGCGGGGGATAGGCGGCTTACGGCGTGATGAGGCCGCAGACGCCGACGGGCTCCTTGACGGTCCACACGCGGTTCCCGGGCACGGAGGAGGGGATGGTGTCGCCGTAGATGCGGGGCGCCTCCTCGCTGAACCACTCGAAGAAGTTGGCCGCGTAGGTGACCTCGCCCTTGGCGTCGGCGACGGGCTTGCCGTTCTCCCAGGTGATGAGGGTCGTCAGGTCTTCGGCGTTCTCCATCATGAGGTCGTACCACCGGCGCAGCAGCTTGGAGCGCTCGCGGCCCGTCTTGGTGCGGAAGGTCTCGAACGCGGCGGCGGCGGCGGCGATGGCCGCGTCAGTGTCGGCCTTGGCGAACTCGGGGCACGACGCGATCTTCTCGCCGGTGGCCGGGTCTGTTTGTCGGCAGTCAGTTTTACCCGGGGAGGGGGGAGGTTGCTGATGAGACATGCAGGCTGGGCTTACCGTTCACATCAAACGTCTTGCCGGACTTGGCCTTGACCCATTCGCCGTCGACATAGCAGACGTCCTGCTTCAGCAGTGACGGGTCTTTGAGCTAAGAGGAGGAGGTGTGTGTGAGCGAACCATGCGGCTTGCGAATTGGATCGCGGCAGGGGCCTGTGTGTTTACCTTGGGAACCATGGTGGAGGCGGCTCTGAGGGCAATTGGGATGACCGGTGTCCGGACAGATCGAAACAAGGTCCTTGGTACGAACCGTGCCGCCGGGGCGACTGCTTTTTGTAGTACGATGGGCATGATGGGGAGCTGAAGTAGGGTGGAAGGAGGGCTGGAAAGAAGAAGAAGAAGAAGAAGCAGAAGTAAAGTAGAAGAGGAAGCTCTCGGCTCGTTTACTGCTAGAGCTGTGGAAATGCCGGGAGCCGGGGCGTCTGTTTTGGATGAAGTTGAGGACCTCTTAGTGTTCCGGTGCTAAAGCGTGAAGCTTCAACGCTTCCTTGTTGGCGACGAGCTAGTTAGCAGAGGAGAGGCAATTGAGAGTATGGGACGTCTCTCTCTGGGGCAATTCACGTTGTCGAGGCTCTCCAATGGCAGCAGATATGGTGGTATCGCTCAGGCAAAAGCAACAGTCGAGTATCACGATATTTGGCTGCAGAGCTGCGCGCATCCGGGTGACGTTCGATGACGTCCCCCCACTTAGCTGACCGTGACCGGCCCGGTTGGTGATATCAGTGTGTGTTAAGATAACGCGCAGTGCCGGGGCGGGGCGACTAACAGATGATAGGTACGTTCTGGTGTCGAGCTGTTCCCCTGGTACAGTCTGTTGCGTTGGCAGCGTCCAAAACCCATTTTTTAGTCTGTGCGCTTGCGCCACACAAATGCAACACCTATGCAAATTTAGGTTTTTTAGGCAGCAAAATACAAAATCTATATTTTAGTAATATTTAATAGTTATAATTTAAAGACATATAATAACAACAATAATAAGGGCATTTAGACCTATATAAAAGCCACTTGTTAGTAATAACCTTTTCTTTATATATAATAGCTAGCCTACTAGGTAACTAAGTTACTAAAGCTACAGGAGTAGTCTTAGACACTAACTATATGTTTATTTAAAGGAGTAAAGTCTATAAAGTCTATAAAGTCTATAATAACCTCCCCTTTATTATCCTTTACTATTACTATTAAATAAATATACCCTTAAATAAATAAAATAGTACTAAGGTTAAATAAGGATAAGTAAAAGAAAATAGTGTAAATACTAAAGTCCTTTAAAAAAACTAATAAAAAAATTACTATATAGATAGGTTATAGTACCTATATAGTCTAGTAATAGTGTTATTATTATAAAATAACTAGCTATATAGTAGTTTATTTTCCTAGTTAGTAAAGCTATATAAAGTTAAAAGTATAGTAACTATATAAGTTATTAGAGCTCTTTACTTACTATAATAACTTTACCCTTAAAGAAATATAAGATTTCCTTTATAAGTAATTTAATATAAAGGTATATAAGTTAAAGATTAGTTAGTAACTTTATAAGGCTAGTTAGACTTTAAAGTCTATTTATATTATTACTACCTAGAGGAATAAGGTATTATAGTGTAGCTAGATATATACTATTTATAGGTACTACCTAAAGTAATTAGTATTTATTAATAAGTTAAGTGTTAATAAATATATAGGCATATAAAGGACAAGCTAAGCACTAAAAGGTCTAGTACCTTATTAAAAGGATAAGCTTAAATATAGGCAGTAATACTAAATACTTTTTACTTTTACTATAGATAGTATATTTAATATATTAATATACTTAGGCTTAATAAATAGTAATAGGTTTATAGTGTAAATAAAAGAGAGGGTTTTACTTAAGTATAGTACCTTTTTTATAGTAAAGTTAGTTATTATTATAAATAATACTAGCTTCTATTACTAACAAGATATTTAAGAGGTATATAATTTAGCTAGTGTATAATTATTATATTTACTACTATACTTACTTAACTTTAACCTTATTAAGGAGGTATTTAGTAACCTTAAAAAGCTTTTTTATAAGTAGTACTTAGTATAGAATAAAGATAAAGGGGATTTACAAGAATTTAAAGAGTTACTTTATAACTATATAGCAGAGGTTAGTTAAAGGATAAAGTAAATAGAAGGGTATTTTTATTACTTATTTATTAACTTTAATAGTATATAAGGGTTATTTAATAATATATTAATTAATAAAGAAGAATTTAATAATAGTAGTAAAGTTAAAGTTACTACTATAACTAGTAAAAAAAGTACTATTATTAAAGCAGTAATAAAAGAAAAAAACAACTATTAATAGATAATAAAGAAATCTAACTATAGTAACTACTTATTTACTTTTACTACTAGCCTTATTATATTACCTTTTATTACTTTTATATAAATCTATTAATAACCTATTATTAACTACTTATATTAGGTTACTAGCTTTATTACTATATAACTTATTAAGACTAAAGTTATTACTATTAAGCTTATTATATATTATAAAGTTAAAAAAGCGTTAACTTATATAGATAATAGGTAATAATAAATAGTCTAATTATAGAGGTAAAGATATAAAGAGAGTATTTACTATACAGAGGTTAGTATAGTTATAACTACTAGATTTAATTTAACTAACTAAATCTCTTTTTCTTAAGGTTACCTATTACCTTATTAGTTATAGTATTTATAAAAAAAAGCTTATTAATATTATTAACTTTATTAACTTTATTAGTAATATATAGTAATTTATACCTTTAGTTAAAGCTAGTAAAGTTATATTTACTATACTTATAATACTATTAGGTAAGTAAGAAAGTCTTAATTAACCTTTATATAGTGTTAATAAAGGACATAGGTATACTCTTCTCTTTATACTACTCTTTTAGTATATACTAAATAACTACTAGACTTAATAATAAGCTTTATAATTACTAAAGGGCTACATTAGTATTACCTTTATAGCCTTATTATTACCCTTTAACTTTAAGAAACTAGCTAGTAAAATCTTTTAACTCTAGTAACTATACTATAGGTAACTACTCTCTAGGTTATAAGGGTAATAATAATAGTACTTTAACCTCTTTTACTATATAAGGAGTTTATAGTACTAGTAATAAAGTAATTAATAAAGTAATAAGTAAGTAATAATAAAGTTAAATTAAAGATAGCTACTAGTAAAAAAGTAGTTAATACTACTACTAGGTGTATAAGTTAACTTCTTTACTACTAAAAGATAAATTAACTACTGTGTTACTAGTAGAGTTATTTATAGTAGGTAGTATAGGTCTACTAGTAGGATTTTTACTTCCTTTAACTACTACTACAGAAGGTAAATTACTTATAATTTTACCTTATATAGGCATCTTGTTTTTTAATTACTACTAAGTAACTATAACTACTAGGCCTAGTAGTAGGCTTTTTAAAGTTACCTTATAGTAAAGTATTATATCTTATTAACCTTTAAGGTTACTAGTAAGTAACTTATAGTAGACTTTATTAATAACTAAATACTAGTTAGTATTATTACCTACCTTATTACTATTATAGTAACTTACTTAATTTATATACTAATAATACTTTATTAGGTCTTACTATAGGTCCTTCTTTATATTCTTCTCTTAGTTAATTTTATCTCTTATTAAACTTATTACTGTTTTTTTAATAATTTTATATATAATAGCTAGCTACTATAGTTAGGTTACTTACTATAGTTAGGTTACTTACTATAGTTAGGTTACTTACTATAGTTAGAATACTTACTATAGTTAAAGTACCTACTATAGTTAGAGTACTTACTATAGTTAGGTTACTTACTTATTAACTTTATAACTAATTATAGTATACTAAATACTAATATAGATAAACTAGTAAAGTATATAAGCTTTATACTAAAGAAGATATCTTAAGTCTAGTAGCCTAGGTTACTTAGTTAGAAGCTAAGTTTAGCCTATAGTAAGGCTAGCTACTTACTACTTACTTTACTAAAGTTATTACTATAGTAGATATTATTTTTTACCTTTATAGTTTTTTTTTTTTACTAAACTTAATAGTTATTTATAACTTTAATAGTAGGTATTACCTACTAAGTTACCTTTAAAGGTACTCTTTTATTTTTTTTAAGATTTACTTCTTTTACTTTAACCTAATTATTATACTTACTAATACTTAACTTATTAACTACTATACTATTTAAAAAGGCTAAACTTATAGTATAGTAACACTATTAAACTAAAGGTTAAAGGTAAAATAGATTATTACCTTAGTTAGTAGTAGTAGTAGTAGAAGGGTAGCTACTACTATAGCTACCCTTTATTACTACTATAATAATAATAGAGTTTATAATAGTGTTTTAAAGGGGTTAAAAGTAAAAAGCACCTATTATATAGGCTCTTTATTATTATTAGTAAGCTTACTACTATTACTATTATTATTATTATTATTATTATTATTACTAACCTTTTTTTTATTAATAGTTACTTTTATTAACTTTTTTAGTGTCTTAAGGGTTATTATTAATTTTTTTACTACTACTATAGTAACTACTAGCTTTTATAGTATTTTAATAACTATTATTAACCTTATTACTACTACTATAAGGTACTTAATAACTATATATAATAATAATCCTTTATAAGTAGCCTTATAGGCTTAAGTGCTATTAGCTAGTAGCGCTAGTAATACCTTTATACTACTAGGGGTAGTATCCCCCTTCTTCTTTAGCGCTATTATTAAACAGTAATAGCAATAAGCTTATTAATTAAAGCTATTTATACTACAGTATCTACGCGACGTAAAACAATTTAAAGGTATGTGGCCACTTGGCAAGGTAACCCCCCTGTGTGACCCTAACTAGGGTGGTTGTTGTGATGGTGTTGCTAACGCATGGACTAAAAAGTAGGTTTTGGACGCTGCCAACGCAACAGACTGTATAGACCCCACTAGAGCTATGACACTTACTCACTTGCCACACCAGCAACTCATTCACTCACTCACTCACTCGCTCACTCACTCACTCACTCAGCACTCGCTCAGCACTCGCTCACCTACTTAGTAGCACAAACTGCTTGATCAAGATGCTTCGCACTCATTGCAATGAACCGGAAATCGTATTAGACCAGCCAGTGCACATCTCCCACCTCGATATTGGACGTAGAATGACGCCAAATGTCCCTCCCTCCCATCTTGTCGTGCCGCTAGAGCTTCCTGGTGTTCGTCTCATCCACAAACAGCCTTTTGCATCTGGGAACCTCCGCACATGACTCTTGCTTGATCCTCGTGGCTCATCGCCAACCTCATTCGGCCCTGGTGCTGCTACTCTCGCCACTTTTTTTTTTTGCCATAGCGATGGGGGAGAAGAATAACAAGAACAAGAACGAGAAGAAGAAGAAGAAGTATTTGCTGTTCCCCCGCATCCTACACACCTGCAGGCCAAGTTCTTGCTCCCAAGACCCGTCTTGCCGCTTTCCGCGGTGATCTCGCCCGTTTCTGACCAGCTCAACCGACCTGCATGCCGTCATGGTCATGGTCATATACCACCCGTCTTACTTATACTGACTTCCGCCTCGGCATCTTTTCCCTTCCCCTACTGCAGCGCGACTGTTTAAATCCCCCGCCGTCGGCCACCGTCGTCTGATGCGGGGAAGAGCTTTCACTGTCACCTCGAAAAACCAAAGCCCGCTCCGCACTGGCAACAACAACAACACCCGCCGCCCATCATGCCAGCCTCGATCGCCTTCCGGTCGCTCGGCTCCGTCCTCTGCCATGA